TTTTGGGACTCAAGAGGCCCTTGCCTGATGAAGCGCATGATTCCGGACGACCATCGGAACCAGGAGAAGAGGATGCACTTACGACGCCAATAGAGCAGCATATACTTTGTTGGCATCGAGAGGCCCCTGCATGAGGATACATCGGAGGCCGAAGCGAGGAATTTGGGATTCCCGTGGGCTTGGGGGCCTATAAGCCTCTTGGGAGCCTTTTGGGTGCCCCTTGGGGCCGTCTGGGGGGCCATCTTGAGATGTCTTTCTTGGCCGTCTGGAGGCCATGTTGGGCCGTCCTGGCGGCCTCGAAGGCCGTCTTGAAATCATCTGCGGCCGTCACGGGGACATCGTGAAAGTTCCAGCGGGCCCTGGTGGACCGTCTTGGGGCTCCCTCGGGTTCCTCTGGGTGGCTCTTGGCCCGTCTGGCGCTTTCAGAAACCGTCTGGGGGGCACTCTGGGGGCCGTCATGGGGAACTTTGAGGCGTTTGTGGTGCCGTCTCGTGGTCTTGCGGGGCTCCACTTGGGGCAGGCTTGGGCCATTTCACGACAATTCAGCAGCTTCAGAAGCACATCGGAATCGAAAAAAAAAGATCTTCAAAACTCATGATTTCCCAATGATTGTTCGCGCTGGTCTTGGCCGCTTGGGGCCCTCTTCGACAAAAAAACAACACAATTTGCTTCTCGAGACCTTTTCGCGGGCCCTGTTTGACCCGTTCGCGCGATCATTGGGATCTCTTCTGGCCAGCTTGTGCCCATCCAGGAGCCTCTTTGGCTACGTTGGTCCTTCTTGGCGGCCCCTTGGCGTCTTCTGGGGCCGTCCTGGAGACCCATGGGAGCCTGGAAAATCGCTGAAGCGATGGCAAGGGCCCACCGGCCTCAGTGACGAAAGTCTGGTGCGGGGGGGGCGGGGAGTTTTGAAAAGTCGGGGAGCCTTGGGCCAGGAGGCCCGCTCGCTGGTGTTATATTATATAGTCATGGTACGCGACTACTCAAATCATTTACAATTTAATGTTTGGAAACCTTGGAATGTTACGGGGGTTAAATGTAAAGCTGTCAGATATTACTACAGATGTTGAGCGGAACGCAAGCAAACACACTCATATAAAATGAATACGCTGAAGTAATGCTGCTCATTATTGCAACACTGTCACATACCAACATATACACTTGCACTGAAAGAGTACATAATGTCCAACCGTTCGGAACGCGCCGGAGCGGACCTTATCCAGCGGTGTACCTGGTTGCGCGGTGATGTAGATGCATGTACACGTTGCCTTAAATATGTGCACGAATATACGCGTACACCATAATCCCTAATAGTGAGATACATGCGTACCTGTACATGTATACATACTCATACGACCACCCTGGGGGGGATAAGGAGGTTGGGGGGGGAGGGGCCCAGCAATGGGCAACAGTGGTGCTTGTTGTTATGACGATCATTGCAAGGGCGGGGCACTTATACGACCACCCTTCGGGTGATAAGACGTCGCACTCGATCGATCTCACGATCGATCCCACTATCGATCTCACCCGATCGATCTCACTCGATCAATCTCACAATCGATATCACTATTGATCTCACAATCGATCTCACCATTGATCTCACAATCGATATCACTATCGATCTCAGTATCGATCTCACAATCGATTTCACGACGGGCCACCGGCGGGACACCGCAGGACACCGACGGGACACCGACGGGACACCGGCGGGACAGCGGCGGGACACCGCGCGGCCCCGAACGCCAGGTCGCCAAACATTTGGTCCGGCCGCGCCTCAGCCACAGGAGTCTTTCCTCTCGCTCGCCCACGCAGCTTCGCCTCACCCGCACGCACGGCACGCACGAACACGAAACCGAAATCAATTTCCTGGTAGGGGAGCTCTCCGTTCCACTTCGATCTCACCCCCAAACCTCCGATTTTTACACAAGCCGATGTACATGTCGCTTCAGACGCTAAACACGGGCGAACGAGGTCGGGAGAGGAACGGGTAACTGGGGAAACCAGGAGACAACGTAAGCATCTGGGAACGTGTCATTTCGGGACGTTGTTTCGGCGGTCATGCTCCGCCAGCCCTCAAACCGGCGGTCTATATCATTATTCCTCGTCATCCGTCCCCCTTCCCCCCCACCTTCTACAAGAAATCGCGACCACATGCTCATTCTGAATAAGGCTACTGGGTAACACTTGTGCAATGTAACCAGATCTGTGTCCATAACAACTTCGGACATGCTTGTACCTGCGAAAAGAGCTGAGGTCAGCCAGGCTGGGCTAACCGCCTTGGCATCCGCTTATCATCTTCTTACCTCTACGACCACCCTTCGGGTGAGAAGGAGGTTCGGGGGGGGGAGGAACCAACGTCTCACTCGATCGGTCTCACTATCGATCTCACGATCGATCTCACTATCGGTCTCGGTCGATCGATCCCACTCGATCGATCTTACTCGATCTACTTCATTCGATCGATCTCACAATCGACCTGACTATCGATCTCACAATCGATCTCACTATCGATCTCACTATCGATCTCACATTCGGCCTCAGTAGCCACATCACTATCGAAATCACAAACGATCGCACAATCAACGTCGTCATCATCAACAGCATCATCGTCGTCAACGTCATCAACATCATCATCATCATGATCATCGGGACACCATCATCATCATCACCTCATCACCATCATCATCAACATCATCATCACCATCACCACCATCATCGGGACTCCATCATCGTCACCACCATCATCATCAACATCACCATCATCGGGACACCATCATCATCATCGGAACACCACCATCGGCATCTCACCATCGTCATGAACAACATCATCAACATCACCATCATCGGGACATCATAATCGTCAGCAACACCATCATCATCAACATCATCATCATCGGGACACCATCATCATCACCATCAGCATCAACAGCATCATCAGCGTCATCATCGGGTCTTCATCATCATCATCAACATCAGCATCATCATCACCAATATCGGGCCACCATCATGAACTTCATAATCACCTCATCATCATCTTCATCATCTTCATCATCATAATCATCGAGACACCATCATCGTCATCATCATAGTCAACATCATCATCGGGACACCATCATCATCACCATCATCGTCAACAGCATCATCATCATCACCAACCTCATCCTCATCACAATCGGGACACCATCATCATCATCATCATCATCATCATCATCATCATCATCATCATCTTCATCAGCATCATAATCATCTCATCATCATCTCATCATCATCAACATCATCAGGGTCGTTAACATCATCACCATCGGGGCACCATCATCATCATCATCAGCAACATCATCATCATCATCATCATCATCATCATCTCAAACACCATCATCATCGGGACACCATCATCATCACCACCATCACCATCGCCATCATCATCATCATCAACATCGTCCACATCAGCATCATCATCATCATCATCATCATCATCATCATCATCATCATCACCGGGACACCATCATCACCACCATCATCAACATTATCGACATCATCATCATAATCATCATCATCATCAGCATCAGCATCAGCATCAGCATCAGCATCAGCATCAGCATCAGCATCAGCATCAGCATCAGCATCAGCATCATCATCATCATCATCATCATCATCATCAATCATCATCACCACCACCACCACCACCACCACCACCACCACCACCACCACCACCATCATCATCATCATCATCATCATCATCATCTCATCATCATCATCATCCATCATCATCATCATCATCATCATCATCATCATCATCATCATCATCATCATCATCATCATCATCATCATCATCATCATCATCATCATCATCATCATCATCATCATCATCATCATCATCATCATCATCATCATCATCATCATCATCATCGGGACACCAGCGGGACACCGGCGGGACACCGCGGGCCACCGGCCCCCAGAAAGGAATCATTTGGTCCGGCCGCGCCTCAGCTGGAGGCCGGACACCAGCGGGACACCGCGGGCCACCGGCCCCCGGAAAGGAATCATTTGGTCCGGCCGCGCCTCAGCCGGAGGAGACTTTCTTCTCGCCCGCCCACGCAGCTTCGCCTCACCCGCACGCACGGCACGCACGAACACGAAACCGAAACCGATTTCCTGGTAGGGGGGCTCTCCGTTCCGCTTCGATCCCACCCCCGCACCTCCGATTTCCCTAGCACAACCCCCCGGGGTCATCCCAGTAGGCCCATGGAGCCTGATCGGTCTGTGCTGGTCCCGGAGCTAGAACAACCGTGCGAAGACGGCCGGTTTGACAAAGACTGCGACGCCCGAACCTCGGAATTGGAGCGACCGACGCTCGGGAGCGGCTCGATCCCATCGCACGGACTCCCTGCCCTCGTCAAGGGCTTAACGACTTCTGCCATCCGTCGCGCTGGAGCGGCCACGATTCGCTTCACATTTCCCTGAAGCTCTTTGGGTCTACCTGGACTTTTCTGGGTTGGCCAGGGTTTGCCTCGATCTCGAGCGTTTGCCTGTCATACTCTGGCCTGATCTCCGCGAGTCGATTGCTGAAAGGTCGTCGAGCCCTTGGGGACCCTGCCTGAGCCCCCGACCGCTCGCCCGCTTCCCCGGGACCAGTGTTTCAGCCCGAGCCGTCTTCTGACGGTCCGGAGGTCCAGTGGGGGGGCCCCAGGAGGCCGAAAACTATGAAGAGCGCCTCCGCCTCGATCTGCTCGCACCGCCAGGTGTCTGGGACTCATGGTGTCCCCAACGGCATTCCCTTGACGCCCTGCCTAAAACAGGGCTAGGATCGGGATAAATCGCTCCAGAGCGTTCCGGAGCGCTCTCAGAGCGTTCCGGAACGCTCTGGAGCGGCCGCGGCGCCCAATACATCCTCCAAACCCGCCGATTCTCAGAGATTTCGAATTATCCCGATCCGATTTTGTCCCGATCTTCGCGTCGTTTTACCACGCCACCCCCCCCCGTCTTGAGAGGCCGCCCGGCGGCGCCGGCTCGTGCACGGTGGCCACGCCCAGCAGCGGCAGGGCGCGGTCGCCCGCGCAGCTCTCGAAGAACACGCGGAAGCCGATGCCCCCGCCGCGCGGCGGCCTGGAGCCCCGGACCCCCTCGCGTCATGGAAGCATCGCGGCGTGTTTATCAGGAGCGGCCAAGAGGGGGGGTCCAGGAGGGGGGGGGTGCACATCATGACCGGTGGCGTGTGCGCGGCCCAGCAGGGGGGGCCAGGGGCGTCATGAAACAAGACGAGGCGCCATAAGATCTGGGGAAATACCATGGCCCGCGCCATGATATCCCCCCCCCCCTAGTCATCACCCCCCTCTTTTCCGCCCCCGAGTTTAGCCATGTTCGGCCTCTGGGGGCCCTCACCGGGCCTCGGGACATCCGGGTGTGCACGGGACCTTGGCGTATACACACTCCGTCGCTTCCCTGGGAAACCGGAGGAAGCAGTGTACACCACTCCACCCCGACGTCGCCCCCGACCCTCCAAGACTCCTGGGATGGAAGAGCAGCCCGCAACTGGCAATGCAGATGTTCCAGCTCCCGAAAAAGAGTACCTGCTCTGGCCCCCCGGCAAACATCGGCCACGAAGAAGGTCCCCGGTCCCCGACAGAGATCCAAGGGACGGCCTGGAAACTGCTGGGAGGAGCGCGGGCGGGGTGCTAAGGGGACAGGGGGGGCACCAGTCCGTGGTAGGGAAGGGTTCTATCAAACCCAACCTGGCCCACACGTGGGCTACAGGCGCCCCAAGTGGCTCAGGGGGGGATTGATGACTCCGTGATCTGAGCGGGGTCCCACTTAGCCCGGATCGTGACGCCCCCTGGGCCTCTTGGGGCAGTTGTAGCCCACTCGTGGAGCACGGCGTTGGGCCACACATTACCACATACATTGGGTTATGTCTGGCCCGAAACGGATTATACATGGACTACAAAGGCCGAAAACAAAACTCAAGGGGTTAGGTAATTCCGCGAACTGGGCGGAGCCCACTCAGCCCAAATCCTTGACCCCCCTGAGCCACTTGAAGCACTACACACTTATGCACTATTCCGCGCCAGCTATCATCCAGCCTGGCATCCGCTGATAACCCCACCATCCTCTCAACAACCTCCGGGGTCACACCAATAGGGGGACGAGGATCGGCGGCGGCTGGCAGTGCTGATTGCATGCAAGGCTGGGATGACCGCTGAGTCTTGCTGGGGCTGCCGGGCACGAGCGAAAAGCTGGAGGGGCACGACCGATGGATGCAATAAGAAAGGAAGAGGGACGTACAGGTACGAGGTGCTCCTCTTGGACGCGCGCGCGCCCGAGCCAAACATCCAGAAAGCGCACCTTATCGTTTACCAGCCTAGAACATATCCCTATCCCTATGCTGGGCACCTCCTCATCACGATGGCAATCTCAGGGATTACCTTATTTTTTGCGGGCGAATCCCTAAGATTGTCATCGCCTTTTGGCGTGCCAATCTTAGGGATAAGGATACGTTCGAGACTGGTAAATCGTATAGTGTCACCCTGGCGGTCGGGCCGGGAACCGCCCGCCGCCGAGCACGAACTCCGAGCGCGCGAGGTCGCCCCTTGAGGGCCGACGCGCACAGAGTAGAAGTACCGTTGGGGCGTTGACCTTAGGAGCGGTAGATAAGGAACGAGGCCGCTTTTTCCCATACATGGAACTTCGATTTCCCATCGGAAGCATAAGGAAAACCTGAGGCAAGCTGTCAAACAATTAAGGAACGCGGAGCCCCTCCCCAACCAAAAGGGTTCCCTCTTCAGGGCTACGAGTGTATGTTGTTGGGGCCAAGGACATCCCGTGTCTTGTCTTTTTGCCGTGTGGGGTCCTCAGAAATCCCGACCCTTTTCCCAGGGCCATCCTTTCGCCCACGAGGAAGCCCTGGGGGCGACAATGGCCAAACACCGTTGGTCGCGTGTTTTCTGGTCGCTCGTATTTTTCCACGGCGCGGGCGCACGTCTGGGGCTTTTCCCCGAGCGCCAGTTCTGCGTCGAGAACCGTTGCTTTCAAGCGCTCCGCGCAGGGGGGCCAGGGCGGAGGCAACATGAAAAAACCCGAGGGCCCCGCTGCCTCAGGACCCATCGTATGCCCTTCGTGGCGAGCGCCCTCGACCACTGGGTGTGAGGAGCATGGGTTCTGGGAGGGCCGCGGGGGTTGCTGAGTGGGCAAGGGGAAATATAGTGTATATGTATACACATGCCTATACGACCACCCTGCGGGTGATAAGGAAGTTTGGGGGGGAAGGGCCCAGCAATGAGCAGCAGTGGTGATTGTTGTTCTGACGATCGTTGCAAGGGCGGGGCACTTATACGACCACCCTTCGGGTGAAAAGGAAGTAAGGGGGGGGCAACGTCGCACTCGACCGATCTCACTATCGATCTCACGATCGATCTCATACGATCAATTTCACAACCGATCTCACTATCGATCTTACTATCGATACCACTATCGATCTCACAATCGATACAACTATCGGTAGCACTATCGATCTCACAATCGATCTCACAATCGATACCACTATCGATATCACTATCGATCTCACAATCGATCTCACAATCGCTCTCACTATTGATCTCACTATCGATCTCGCGACGGGACTCCGACGGGACACCGCAGGACACCGACGGGACACCGACGGGACACCGGCGGGACAGCGGCGAGACACCGCGTAGCCCCGAACGCCGGGTCGCCAAACATTTGGTCCGCCCGCGCCTCAGCCACAGGAGACTTTCCTCTCGCCCGCCCACGCAGCTTCGCCTCGCCCGCACGCACGGCACGCACGAACACGAAACCGAAATCGATTTCCCGGTAGGGGGGCTCTCCGTTCCACTTCGATCTCACCCCCCAACCTCCGATGTACAAGACTCCACTAGCGCTTCGCGCCATGCACCTCGGTCCTTCAGGCTTTGCATACGTTGGTCGTTCGCGCCATCCCTCGTGGCCTTGGAAAGTTGGCCCCAAAGACTCTAAGAAACTGGCTCGTAGAGCTCACCGGATGAAAGAAACGAGTCGTACCGCTCGGATTTGTGAAGACAGAAGAACTGACGTGCGAGCGCCACCAGCGAAGTCGAAGATAGCAGCAACATCCTGCGTGCCTTCGTCCTTGTCGAGCTGCAGAACTCTGTCAACTCAGCGCGACGTGGTTGGGGTGGTGACCTTGTGAACGGCCATCATGTACGGGTGCGCGTAGAGGATGTGACGTCCCAGGGCACGGACAATTTGTGGATGGAGTCTGCAAACAGCCAGTCGTGTGCGACTGGAGCTGCGGGTCAACGACAACGTGCTGAATCGAATGGATCCCTCGGCGGTCGACGTGTTGTGGTACATCGTCCCGTGGATTATAATGAGGGGCGGCTTGTGTTTCCCGCTCCGAGGTACTGGACTGAATGTCATGCACGGCGAGTCCAAAAAGATTTGCCATGCCCGGGCATGGGCGTTGCAACCTTCGCGTCGGGAGAAAGTGAGAAGGGCTGGCCCAGGCTCCGAGAAATACCTGATGAATTCGATCGCGTGCTTACCGAACCGACAACAACATCCTGCACATTCCGTGGAGGACTGGGCGACGCCGCAGAAACTACAGATGCTGTCCCGGAGCCCTCGCGATAGGGATTGGCAGCCTGGGGGCGTGGAGCAGTTTCCACTGGGCGTGGCGCACGCGCGGCCATCCGGCGTCGAGCTGCGTGTTTTGGGGTTGCCCGGCGCAGAAGTGGGTCTTGTCTCGGGGCTCTCCACAGCGCGTGCAAGAGAGGAGGTCTTTGGGAGGCCTGGAAATGGGCACCAACACCAAGACAGAGGGTTGCCTCCACAGGGGGGAGGTGATCCTAGATTTCGGTGTTGGTGGTAATATTTCGGCCACCTTGGAAGCCAGAGTACTACCATCATCACCGAGATCGGGATCTTCTTCCCTCGGTGGAGGAACACCGCCGATCTTGGTGTTGGTGTCAACCTCTAGGCCTGCGAGTCTTGCTTGGGGCGGCCGCCAACCCGCATAGAGGGACTGGACTTGCAGGTCCGAATGGATCGGTGCAGCTGGCAATTGCTGAAGTGGTTTCGTTCGCGGAGCTCCTCGCAACGGATGCGCTGCAAGAGGTCTTGTTTGAGAGCCGACCGCGATTGTGCCTCCCGCTGCCTGGCACAGGACGTACAGGCCCGATTGGACTGCTGCAGCTGTGTTCTGGAAAATGCAGCTGCAGGTAGGGTTTGGCCACAATCAGAGCAACTGAATACAGACATGAAGGATGTGGCGCATGCGGGCGCCGAGAAATTGAAGTCAACGGCTACGATTTCATGTGTATGTACACGCTTGCAGACACGTCTGGCGGTGAATGACGCCATGCGAATCAATGCCAAGCAAACCGACAAAATGTCAAGCAATGCCGCAAAGTACACAGCAATGCCAAGCCCAGGATGTCATGTTGCAGCGGGTCGCAACGGGGCATACGAACGTGAATAACTCTTGCACCGAATCCTGGGTTCGCACCAGATTTCCGGGAAATGTGGTTGCGAACCCGGGATTTTCGGGCCAGTTTGGTGGAAAACGCCGTGTGTGCCTTGGGAGCCCTGGTGGGCCAGCCCGGGGCCATCTCGAGCCGTCCTGCGGCCATCTCGGGCCATGTTGGGGGAAGCTTGGGCCCTCTGGGGACCTTGCGGGGGCTACGTGGGCGCTCCTGGTGGCCTCCCATGGCCTTTCTGGGAGCCACCCATGGCCTTACTGGGCTTCTCTCGGGGGCCTTGTGAGGGCCTGTTGGGCCTCTTTTTGGCACATTCGGCGCTTCTTTGGGCAGTTTGAGGGCCATCCAAGCCGTCTAGAGGCTCTCTTGGAGGTCTCTTCGGCCGTCTTGGGGCGATACCGGAGGCCTTTCTGGCAACACTTGTCAGACCCGAACAGCGAATATGATTAAAATGCACGGGTCCCTAAGGGACTACAGCGATTTATGCGTTCTGGGAGTCCTGCTGAGGCCCTCCTGGGCCAACTTGGCAGCCTCTGGAGGCTATCTGGGTCCTTCTCGGAGCGCTCTTGTGCTGTCTTGTTCATATTTTCGGCCTCTCTGATCACTGGCTAAGCGCCCTGGGAGGTCCGGGACGAGCCAGGGGACCTTTGGCAAGGGTGTCCGGGGGGCCCGGAAACCACGGATCCTGGGGGTCCGGCTTTTTTTGGGGGGGGTGGGGGGGGGGTCCCCCCCATCGCTGGCCTGAAAAACTATCGGAAGATGAATATGCGGACACCAGGGTGCTCATGTGTGGACCAACACCCTGCTCTGGAAGTGGGCTACAACTGCCCCAAGTGGCTTAAGGGGTTTCACGATCCAGGCTAACTGGGCCCCAATAACGGAGCCCCCTGCGCCACTTCGGGCGTTTGTAACGCACGTGTAAGCCAGGTTGGGCCAGGCATGATTCGCCATGCCATCCGATTGTTCGCCCTCTATCCACGTAGCCACCCCCGCGGCGATCCCAGTGAGGACCCAGACATCTTCACATCGTGACATATATCACGACAGTAATTTTTGGGCAATTCTCGGCTTCCAGCGGCCCTAACCAGGTACGGCGGACCGTAAAAAACGACGGACGAAGAATCGGTCTCCGGGGAAGGTTCTAGAGTCTAGACCTCTGGACAGCCACGCTGTGAAACAAAAACGCGACGTCGGATATCTGGGGAAGTGGAGGACGAGGATGAGTGCGGAGGCGAGGGTGGCGATGCGGGAGAGGGTGATACAGGACAACTCAGAACTGGACTGGGGAGAGAAATCGGCCATGGAAACATATCCAGTCGGCAGAACCGGCAAGCAGGTCGGAAGGCATCAACATCGGCATCCGCTGAGGCCAACACAAAGAAAAATCCAATTTCGAAGTCGGAATCGAGAATCGAACGGATCGAAATCATCGAATTCGAATCGGCAGCATGAAAATGGCTCCTGGCGAGGAAGCGTGGGAAGAACGGGGCTCATCATCCGCTGCCAATTCTGCCCGTCTCCGGTCAACAATGGCGGATGTCCTCGGTCTAACTAGGCCTGGTCATCACCAGCGACCGATCCACGACGTCTGCGTCGTCGTCGTCGCCGCCGTGGACGCTGCTCTTGCCCTGGTCGTCGCGACATGGGCATCACCAGCGACTGGTCCAGGCCCCGACGCCGCCCCCTCCGCGGCTACCGAACTCGTTGCCTCCGTCGTCGCCCTGGTGCACCTCGCCAGCGCCGCCGCCCCCGCTGACGCAAAGGCCGCTGCCAACATCGCCGTCCTTGTCGTGGCCGTTGCGGCCGGGGAGTCGGTCGCGATCCAGGGCCTCCACGCCGGCGTCCCCGCCGCCGCCGCCCTTGTCGTCGTCGCCGTCGTTGTCGTCGTCTCCAGCGCCGCCGTCATCGTCACGGCCGTCGCGGCCTGGGCATCACCAGCGACTGGTCCACAGACACCTCCCCGCTGCCAGCCTGCATCGGGTCGGTGTCCCGAGAGCTCGACACCTCGACCCTGTGTGTGTCGTGCCCGCTCACCACCTGGGCAACGAAGGGATCGGGTGGGGAGAGGCTACCGCCAGCTGTAGGTTCACCAGATTGCCAGATGGACCCTCTTTCGGGGATGGACAGACCCCCCTTTAGTAAAACGTGGTTTAGAGAAAACGACCTGAGGCCCAAACCTGGCGGGCGCAAGCGTGGAAAATAACGGCCACGGCGCCCCCTCGAGAACCGAAAACGGACAATTCACTAATCGACGTGTCACTGTTTGGGTTCTGTTCACCTCCGATTCTTGACCCCGGCTGGATTTGCTGACGCTCGACCCACCACCGCCCGAGAGCAGGCCGAGTCCAGCCGAACCTCCACTTGGGTCTGTTCCAACGGGGCCTACCGCTGCCTGAGAGAGGTTTCGCGCACCGTGACGCGGCGACGTTACGCAATGAGGACGCATCTCACCTGAGGCCCCGACTGCTAGTGCGAGTGGAAGCTGTTGGGCACGAGGGTAGCTATGAACACAAGCCCGGCACATGCTCACGCTGGACTGCTTCGGGCTCGCCAGGACTGGCGAGCGCAGGACGGGACTCGCCAGATGGGCCGGCGACCGCGCCTGGACGGCGCCAATGCGTGGCTCACTCTCGCAGCCTATGCAGCACGGCAGTGGCCTGCGCGGGCAGCTTACGCGCGAACGGCAGGTGGAGAAGAGGGCGCCCTCGCGCGACCTCTCGCGGGCCGCTCGCGCGCGATTGCCCGCTCGCAGTCGACGCCGTGCGTCTGCGCCGTGCCTCCCCCGCTCGTCTGGAACAGGCCCAGGACCTCCCGCGGACGAGCATCCGAAGCTCAGGGATCGACCTGCGTGGGTGTCTGTGGGCCTCGGGGGGGGGGGCTCGTGGCCTCGGCTGGCTTCGGGGTGCAGGACGTCATCTGGCGGCAAGCAGGCTCGATCCGTTGATGATGGCGCCTGCGGCGGGAACGAGGCGGGGCAGCCGGCGATGGGCGGAAGCCGGAAAAACACGCAGGGCACAGCCCGGGTGCGCTATGGTGAATGGCGCCCAGCATGCCAGCTCGAAGTTCCGACCCGAACCGACCCCTCGGGGGTCGCGACAAAATCGAGACGGCTGGCTTTTTCACCGATTCACGCCTCTGGAGTCCAGAGTCGGGCCCCGGGACTGTCAGGAGACGGCCCAGCCAGAGCTCCAGGGGCCCACGACACCAGCAAAAATGTGACGTTGGAGGTCTACGGAGGGCGCTCCAGCTTCTCGTCGTCCTCCTCCTTATCTGTCCTCCTCCTCCTCCCCCTCCTCCTCCTCCTCCTCCTTCTCCGTCATCTGTCTGGCCACATCCTCCATGCCCCTTCCTTATGAAATGAATCCCCCATCCCACCACCAGACGTGTCCGTCGGTTAGGCTGGGCGTTTCGCTTGCGTTTGATTTGCAATCCAGTCTCCTGAATCCCGAAGGCTACCAGACACGGATGGAAGGCCAGTAGTTTTCAAAATGTGTTACTCGCCGTAACGCCGCGCACATTCGTTGTAACTTTATCCAACAGTGACAGTACTGTGGGGAACCGGTTGCTTTCAAAATGTGGTTCTCGTGATGGCGCCTCGCGCGCTCGCCTTGGTTGAGAAACCCGGCACTTGCTAGGATGGAAGGGTGGTGGTTTGCAAACTGTCGTTCTCGCCATAGCCGCCGCTACAAACATGGAGGCGGATTCATGGTCAAAATGCGGTTCCCGCTTGAGAAGTCCACCAATTCTACGACCCGGGGTTCCAACTTGTGCAACACTTACACTGGTGAAGGGAGACTCCTTTCCAAAATGATGCCACTACTTGAAAATATTGCTAGCTGTATGACCATACTTTTGATATGCTGTTGATGAAGGGCCTTTGGACGGGAGGCTGCATTGCAGCATCGTTTTGGCGCCCTGGTTTGACTCTGGTCCTCCTCCTTCGCCTCCTTGTCCGTCCAATTCCTCCTCCCCGTCCTCATCCTCCTACTCTGTCCTCCATATCTGTCCTACTCTGTCTTTCATGCCATCTGCGTCGTCCTCTTCCTCCTTCGTCCTTCTTCTCCTCCTTCTCCGCCACCGTCCTCCTGCCCAGTTGCTCGTCTCCCTCCTCCTCCTCCTCCTCCTCCTCCTCCTCCTCCTCCTCCTCCTCCTCCTCCTCATGCGCCCCATGCCGAAGGCTGCCGCAGCCCCTGGGGCGGGTGTTGGAAAGGACGCATGTGGCGCTGATAAGGGCGTGCGCCGCGCGGCGCACGCCCGAAGAACACCTTTTCAACGCCCCAGGGGTGAAGCAGCTGGGGCGACACCAGCAAACGTGGTCATTTGTGTGGCCACGGGGGGGGGGGGGCAACAGGGTCGGGGGCTACGGACCACTGCGCAGCAAGTTCGCAGTAGCCCCAAGCCCGCTGATTCGACTGAATCAGCTTCTCAAAGCCGTGCTCCCTGCAATTTTCTTTTGTAATTTGTAGGGGTGCCAGTAGACCCCGGCCCGCTGATTCGACTGGATCAGCTCGCTAGCAGCCCCGCGCGCAGCCGGCCAAGGAGGGGGATCAGTGGGTAGGTTGTGTCGTGTCGTCGTGAGGGCTCACCCTCTTCGGGGTGGGCCTCTTCTTGGTCCTGCGTATGGTGGTGCACGCGCGTGCGCGTCGTGCGCGAACAACGGCAGAAGCAGTGTACGTCAGCGCGCAGCAGTGTAGCAGCGCGCAGCGGCAGGGGAGGGATTCGTGCAACACCCATTTCGTATCATCGAGGACCGGCGGTGTCACGGTTTCCGCCCTCGTGCTCCGGAGAGGGATACGCTCTCCCCAATTTGGTCTCATCCTGGATCTGTGCCGCGTGATCTCGAGGGGGGGCATGATTTGTCCGCCCGCTCTGGGTGTCACGGAATACCCCTGGGGTCCGGGTAGCAATAGGCAGCGGTAGACAGCGCATTCACTAAGTGGGATAGCTGATTCGGCATCAACAATCCCACTGAGTGGGATGGCAGCTTTAGTACATGCTAAGCTAACAACCCCAGCATGTGGGACAGCAGCTAGGGCATCAACAATCCCACTGAGTGGGATAGCAGCTCTGTGCGATACGCAGCAACATGCGTAGACAATTGTATGGGAGTAGCCGCAGGCGGATCTCACACGCTTGGCCGCGCCCTGGCCTGTGGCGGCAAGCATCGTGTTGAGCCTTCTGATTGCCTTGGCGTCTTTGTGCAGGAATGCCGCCTCGAAATGTGACCTTGACCGGGGTTGGGTTCAAAGGGCCGTCGTATCGGATCACGCGTCCGGTTGGACATTCGGTTCAGGCGGCCGGTCGCCAGCGGATCATCCGTCCGCACGGCGGTGTCTGCAGGGGCTCCTGCTCCTGCCCTGCGGCTGGCTGCGGATCAGGTGTCCGGCTGGCCGTCTCTCTCTCTCTCTCTCTGTTTCTGGGGCGCGGCGTTTGTCGTGCGCGCCCTGGCGCCTAGATAATCGCGTTTCGCCGTCCGCTGCCGCGGATCAGGTGTATGCCTGGCGGTGCGTGGCGGTTGGGGTCGGCCCGGGGGCGGGGCGGCCCCTCCCCCCGAAAGCCGCCGAAATGGGACGCCGAGCCCCCCCCCCCCTCGGTGTACCCGGGCCCCCTTGGTACACCGCGGGGGGGGGGGGCGGTGTCCCATTTTCGGCCAGTTTTGGTGGTCTTCTGGGGCTTGTTCGCTCCCCCATGGGCTCCCGCTGGGGCGCGGTGGGGGTTGTCCTCCTCTGGGCGCGCACGCGCGGTGAGGATTTCTTGCTGCTGCCGCGTGCCCGCGCTGGGGTGGGCGGTCGGGCTGGCGCGGCTGTGGCGTGTGTACCCTATATCCGAGCGTGGCTGGGGCGAATTCCATTCCCCAGCCACGCCATAGTGGGTTAGAGAAGGGTGGAGTCCGAGCGCGGGCTGGGGCAAATGTCATTCCCCAGGCACGCCAAAGGGGTACAGAAAGGTGACCCCTCATGCTGGGGAGTTGGTCCCCCTTACCCATTGCGTTGACCCTTCACGCTGGGGCTTGCACCTCTCATGCGTTGACACCTCATGCTGGGGACTGTACCCCTCATGAGTCGCGCTGTCGTGCTCGCATCTCGCCCGTCATGATGTCGGCCTTTCCCAACGGGTGGCTCCCGGCCGTGCCTGGAGAGAACACTGGTGAGCTGGGCAGCTTACCGGTGCACCGAGGCTGTTTTGGCTGTACCTGGAGCTCAAATTCAGCGGCTGGGAGGCGCGCGGACTCATCAAGGGTCCGATTGCTCCCCTGAGGGGAACCGCTGGGCAGTGCACGGCTACAGATTCAGTGTGTGCGCGGACCACTGCGGAGGCAAGCTCGCTTCCCCGACGTGGGATGCCACCCTGTAGGAGCCCGGATTTGACCAGATCACCAGAGGGCATAGGGTGAGGATGGGGCGGTGGACAGAGAAGGCGATAGAGAGGTGGAGCATCGACCGGTGCTCCTCAATAAGCACCTCAATATCAGTACTGCCCTCCGCCCCCCGCTTTAGGCCGCGTGGCAAGTTTCTCGCATCGGCCAGACCCCGCTCCCCTGGGGGCTGAGGTGTGTGAGCCCGGCCCACGGCCTGAGGGTACATCCGCGACAATCCTCCTCCTCATGCGCCATCCTCCTCCTATTTATCGTCCTCCTGATCCTCCTCGTTCTGCCATTCCTCCTGCGAATTGCGTCGACCTGTGACTTCCTTCTGCTCCTCTGCCTCATCCTGCTCATCACCATCATCATCATCATCATCATCATCATCATCATCATCATCATCATCATCATCATCAGCAGCAGCATCATCATCAGCAGCAGCATCATCAGCAGCATCATCCTGCTCCTCTTCCTCATTCTCCTCCTGGATCCTCATCATCATCATCATCACCATCATAACCACCATGATCATCATCATCATCATCATCATCAGCAGCAGCAGCAGCTGCATCACCACCACCAGCATCAGCATCATCATCATAATCATCCTCATTAT